CTATCTATCTATCTATCTATCTATCTATCTATCTATCTATCTATCTACCTACCTACCTACCTACCTACCTAACCACAGCATCTCTTCCCATTTCACCGTATTAAACCTTGGTTGGTAAATGTTATTTATTTAACACTTACTTGTCCATTTTGTGTTTCACAGAATGACATGGGAGGACAGAGAATACTGGTGAATAAGTGGAGCACATTCCTGAAAGCAAGGCTGGTTTGCTCAGTACCAGGAATGAATGGAATTGACACATACTTTGATGAACTAGGTAACTGTCACATTTTACTTCTTTGCATACGTCCTTCTTTACAGCTATCCCTCTCTTAGGCATGTGTGAAAAACACATCTGTAGTGTTTGAGCTCTCCATACCAAAGACAAGTTTCTATCTTTTCATTTTGATCCAGTCACCTCTGATAGGGCAGAAGAGTTTCAGGACAAAGAGACTCATTTTGCTCCTGTTGAGACCTTCTCTGTCATTCAGCCTAAGTCACCCAATGAGGAGCAATGACTCATTGCTCTGTCCTGGTCACAGCTGTAAACTGGGAAAACTGGGTCTTAAAATCTGCACTTCTGAACTATTTTATGTAAGTACATTTTCTTCGCACGAAAAGAAGTTTAGAAATACTAAATGATGGAATGGTCTTTTCGTTGTTTCAGAGGATGTGTTTTTACTGCCTACCAGAGATCCCAAGAATCCAGTGATATTTGGACTGTTCAATACTACCAGGTGAGAAACTTATAGTCAATAAAACGCTAGAGAGAAAAATGGTCTCACTGCAGTACCTTTCACGGTGTACATAAATCAGAAATCCGCTGACCCTGTTATCATTCTCATCTTCTGGACTTTGTAAGTGTCCAGTTTCTCTCGCTTTCCCTGACTGCAGCTGGCCTTCAAAGTGACAATCTCAAGCTAGCCCTTATGGTTTTGTTTGCAGCATCCCATCACCTACCTGCAACTACTACCCTTCCAATCTCTTTAATTACTCATGTACAACCATTTGACAGTCTTAGGTGGTCAGGTTATAAGACATGACTTGGATGCTACCAAGTCTTGGGTAATTCTTTTATTTCTCAAATGAAAATTTTGAATCCAGGCTTTCAAAAAGTGCTCTAGTAACTAAGTGTTCCGCATTAATTTGGGGGTAGTTTTGTTTTTTTTTTGTTTTTTTTTTTCTCTGACTTCTCCAATGACTGATGATTCCTTTACAGAGCTCAGCATTTCCACTGGCAGTTCTTAGCAATGGGTCTTTTCTCTCCTTTAATTCACTCTACTTTCGGAAATGACTTTCCTTTCCAATATCAGTTTACATCAGTGCTCTGATACTTGCCACCCATGTCCAAGAAATGTTTCTGGTTCCTTAGTCAGGAAGCAGTTCTCACACCTTTGTTTTTGTTGTTTTCCTCCCATGTAGATTCATACTGAACACACCCTTGTCATCTGCTCTCCATTGAGAAATGCAGTGCTCAAGTTCAAAGCTTATAGATATGTTATTTCTCCCTTTGCATTTTGGAATTTTGTATATTATGGAAGAGTACTATAAAGAAATATTTTACATGCACTCATATGTGAATAAATATTCCTATAATCAATTTCAGCTGAAAGTTTATATGCCCAATTTCCTGAGTATCTTTCAAAAACAGATAACAATAATAGTAAAGAAGAAATTATCTCAATATTTCAACAGAGATGGATTGACATGACTCAGTTCTCAATCACCAATGTATGAACTATAAACTGGAATATGACTCCGTACCTGGGACTTACTTAGGGCCTTATCACAGTTTTGGTGAGGTTTTCAGCAGGTGATTTTAAAGGATCAGTCTGAATGAAAAACATTGAAAAGCTCTTTGAACAAGTATCTTGTAACAAGATCTTTTGTTCCACAGACTAATATGGGAACAGTTCTTTCTATTAACTCTACTTTGAAATAAATTTAAAAAGTTAACATGTATTGATAGTCACCACAATACAGACAGCACCTTTTTTACTTCATTTTTATGCCAGAAAATAATTTTTGCATAATTCTTCAAATGATAAAATTTACCTACAAGTTAATGTGTACGTTTTCTGTTGGCTAAAATGATTGGTTTAAAAGCTAATCTCCTAAATGATAGCATATTGGATCACTCAGAGAAATCAAAGCCATGATTTCCTTCCATGATTTCAACTTTGTTCAATTTATATATAAACCTGAGAGGGGGAAAACAGCTCCCAGCTGTACCTGCCACAGAGGCTGATATTTGCAGAATGGTGATCAAAGGTTTATTGCCACTTCAGCTGAGACTGTCTAGTTTTCCCCAGTATCACGGGCATTTCCAATTGCTTCAAGGTGTGTTATAAAATGTGTGAATTGATTTCCTAAGACAGTAACATGACTGCTGTTCTACAGCTGGCCCAGGGTGAAGGAAATACATTTGCACCAGTTTACATTTTACTAAAGCTCCTTCACAAACATTTATTTTAATTCACATAGTATGGAGGCTGCGAAATGGTATATTTCTTTCAAATGATGGCTCTGTGGTCAAGTAGTATAACAGTAAATGTGATTTCAGATACCCCCAATAACTTGTATTCAACAATGATCATTACCCTCTAAAAGTAGAACTTTTTTCCATTTTAAAAATCATTTTGATCTCTGCTTCATATGAGGATTAAGTATCTGAGTTTTACACAATCTTTCCATTACTGAAAAACTCAGTGACTTCTTTACAGAACTCCATACTAAGAAGTAGGGAAAGGCTACTAGGAAGTCTAGTACAGTGCAAATAGAATTTGTAGTAAAATTAACAGCATGGTGATTAAAGGAACACTATCTACATTCAAGATGTAAAGACTCAGAAATACTCTTTAAATTGCTAATAATCTTTAAAAGATATACAAGGAAGCTGGAAAGATGGCTCATTAGGAAAAGAACTTGCTTCCAAGCCTGACAACATGAGTTTGGTCGATAGAACCCACATCGCACAGGAGAGAACTGACTCTTGTAAGATGGACTCTGACTGTGTGCACATACGCTACAGCTCCTGCTTCCTCAAAGAAGCAAGCAAGAAAGGAGGGAGGGAAGGAGGGAGGAAGGATGGAAGACAGAAAGGAAGAAAGAAAAAGAAAAAAAGAAAGAAAGAAAGGGAAAAAGAAAGGATAAAGTGAAAATAAGTCAAGTAAATGAAAAACCCAACAGAGGACTTAACAATTACAAAGTGGTTGCACAAGGTTGTCCTTATAATGTAATTTACAAGTTTAGTAAACTGGAAATGAGGAATGGAAAGTCTTTTTATTTTATTACTTAAAATAATGTAATATTCAAAATTTCTAGAATATTCTATGCTTTAAAAAAATTGATGTTTTTTACCTCAAAAATTAATTCTAATGTGTGTGTACATATGTGTATATATATATATATATGTATGTATGTATATATACACATTGGGTATTTGACCAACCGAACTTAGTTACGTCTATATTTGTAATTTTTATTTTTCAGCAACATATTTAGAGGCCATGCTATATGTGTCTATCACATGTCAAGTATACGGGAAGCCTTTAATGGCCCATATGCACATAAAGAAGGCCCTGAATACCACTGGTCACTGTATGAAGGAAAAGTCCCTTACCCAAGGCCCGGATCAGTAAGTATAATCATTTTGACATACTTTTCCTATGTTAGAAGTCTTTGTTTCACATGTTCTATCTTACTTTGCAGTTAAAATATTTAAGAATTTAATATCTGAAAGAATGTTCCAACAATAAAGAAGTTTTATGTAATGCTGAGTTTTATGTAATTATTAATATAAAGGATATTTAATCTTTTTTTTAAAGCAGATTGAATCTGAGATTTTTTTTACTGAATATGATTTGGTAGGGTACAGGAGAACACTGTGGAAACCCTCTGGAATGCAAGGCTCTCCACTTGTCTAGGGGGCCATGATTGGGGATATTTTTGACCCACAGCCATAGTATATATAATCTTAAGTGGATCCCTCTTAGCAGCATTGTAAAATATGTGCCCACTGATACTTCCACCAAGTAGCAACAATATAACTTTTGGCTTTAGGGATGCTGGTAAGCATGGAAATATTTAATTAAGTGGGCATAGGATAGTTTTCTTCCAGCCTTGTGAGGAGAATTAGTATCACATATCACTTTAAAACAGTAAGATCCTGACCAGTTTTAATATTTTAATGTCTGCATTCACTTATGTGCTCCCCAGGAAAGATTCTGTCTTTGCTTGGTCCATTAGCAGAACAAAGGAATTTTTTATCATTTTCCTCTGAAATGTACCAAAAGTCTAACTAGTTATATCGACTTCTGTGCTTTTGATTGGGATATGTCTAAAATTGAAAATAATGAGGATGATGATGCAGACTTAGATCATAAATCCCATATGCAAGCAGGCTGGAAAAGGTTGCACCATTCTGTGTTTTATGTGAGTACCAGTGTGCAAATGTTTAGCTTGTCATGCAGGTCCATATCTTCACTTTAACAAGCAGCTGGTGAGGTTGTGAGCCTATACTGATTCCACGGTTACAACAAAGTCATAGAGAAACCATTTTTGTAGAGCTGAAGCTCTAAATGAAAGCAAGCCTCACCTCCATTAGCCAGTGTAAAGCCTTATCACAATAACCACTCTCACCAACTTAAAATTATTACTTCCAGTAAGACATAAAGTATATTTTATTTCCCTGTATTGCTTGAAATTGCAATTTAAATGGGAAAATCTACTCCTGTGGCTTAGCTGGAAATGCTTCTTGAAACCACATGGCCTTAGAGGAGGTTGGAGGAAGTGACTGGTTGTTGAACTTTTTCCAAGGTAGAAGGTAGTCCAAAATGTTTCCAATAGTGTCTTGTGCAAGCGGAAGCAAATGCATAACACATGACAAATTTAGGCATCTGGACTGATTTTTAAAAACAAACAATTATGAATACCCCCTTTACAGATCCTGGTTACTTAACTACCACATTTATACACTAAATTAGAAAGAAATAAAGATATTTTTAATGACTGGTGTTGATTTTAGAGGAACATGCGTGAACGTGAGGAGCAAAGCAAAGATGAGTGTCAGTATTCCAAACAGTATGTCCTGCAGTGCTCTGGAGCGGTGCATTTTAACCCAGTGTCTTCAGAACTGTAACATGTAAGAACAAGTAACTAGGTTTTCATTTTTTTCAGTTTTAAACACCTATGAAATAATACAAAAATCGTACAGATTATATCAGAATAACACAAAGAGGTTTTGTCCTCTTAGCGCGTGACAATGGAATTTAAATAGCTCTATACTATAATGCTAGAATTATGCAATCGGGAAGCAGAAACATCACCATCTTAACATACTTTCAGTAATGAGAAACCTATTTTGTACAATTATAGTCAGTTTTTTTAAGGCACAGTCTTACTTTGTAGTTCAGTCTGCCTTTAGACATGGAGTCCTCCAACCCTTACCACCCCAGTGTTCCTAAACTTTAGAGATTTATTACTAAAAGACATGTGTTGTTTTGATAAATGGTGCATCCTTCCTTCCTTCCTTTCTTTTCTTTCCTTCTTTTCTCTTCTCTTCTCTTCTCTTCTCTTCTCTTCTCTTCTCTTCTCTCTTCTCTTCTCTTCTCTTCTCTTCTCTTCTCTTCTCTTCTCTTC